TTCTGGGAGTTGAAGTCCACTCATCTTAAAGTGGCCAAGTTTGGACAACACTGCATTATAGTGATGTACATTTGCTGCCTACTCATCTGGATGCAGATACTGAAAAAATGAAATTTGTGTAGGTTTTTTGCTGCAATGCAGAAAGCAGATTAAAAAAAGGAACAGCTTCTTGGCCAGAAAATCCACCTATCCATTGCAGGAATGTAGGTTTCCAAATTTCATTAAAATTAGTTCAGAGTCATAGCTGAGTTTTTTAAAACAATGATGGTCCCTTTTCCAAGAAGACATTTGTTAAAATAGGATTCATATCAAGTGGTCATTTTCACATTGACCACCCAGAAATAGAGAGAAAAACCCAGCTTGGTAGTGGACAGATGTATTTTCTATTCAAGGAAATGTTCCTTTAAAAAAAAAAACACCTTGGAACAGAAGCTTATAATAAATACTTCTCAGACCTATTGTGGGATTAATCTTTAACTCTATAGCTTGTTTGCTGCACTGGTAGTAGAGTGTGATATTCCTCTTAAAAGTGGTGGGTAATCATCATCTTAATTGTAGCTTTAATTCCAACCTTTAATTCCAATTATTATTGCCTTAATAGGGTGCCCCCATAACTCACTGTATCTCCAATCTTGAGTCCAACACAAGACTTAACTCCAGGAATGACTTCATTCTCCAGGCAGGTGGCATTAAATGAGAGGGACAATTCCTCTGGGAGATTACGGACTTCTAGTTCAACCTTGGAACGGATTTTCTGAGAAAGGACATGAAGATAAAGAAAATCAGCCTCCATCCAGTTGTGGAGTGGCACCTCATCTACAAACCCAACTAGTCTTCCCAATTTGAAATCTGTCAGACTCCAACTCATTTTTTTTTTAAATCATAGCTCCAGTACCTCCTTCTCTCTATCTAAGTTAGTGACAGTGGTTGTAGATCAGCTGGGACGAGTGGTTCAGTAGAGTGAATAGGCTTGAATCAAATTAAAAATAAATAGCATTCCATGTCAGGGGAAGCTAATGGGAAAAGCAATTAAATATGAATGGGAGTTTGTAAAAGTAGGCAGTAACAATTCCAGTGAGAAAAAATTGGGTACGGTAGAAAAAGCCAATGTAGCTGTACAGCAAAGAACAGAGAACAAGAAAGGGGACATCTAGCTTGCCCAGAACTGTAGTCATGGTCTTGGGGAGACTAAAGCTCAGCAGGAGGTGATGCTAGTAAAGGATGCTTAGAATAACAAAAACAGCTTCTTGGATATGCTCACAAGAAAAGAATTAGGACAACAACTGCCCTGTGAAGATGGCAAAATGCTAACAAGTAGTGAAGAAAAGGTAGAGCTACTCAATTTTGGCTCAGTGAAAAACATCTTGGAATAGTAGTTTTATAAACCTAATATGAGTCAGTGTGATGTGGCTGCAAAAAAAGGCAAATGCAATTTAAGGCTGCATTAACACAAGGAGTGTTTCCAAATCACGGGAAGCAATAACTTCACATTACCCTATGACAATCAGACCTTTAATACTGTGTTCCATTCTGAGTAGTTGAAGAGGGATTAGATCGTGGGGATGAGTAGGTAGCATGGGGCAAGGAAAGGCAAATGGCATGAGTGTCATGTTATAATGCAAATGATGTGATACATACGTGCATCAGAGGAAATAACACGACTGACACAAATCACTTTATTGTCTCATTTGCTCAATGATGTCATGATGCATATGTTATCATTTTGATGCCATCATGGCTTGTAGCAGAGCCCTATGATTCAGACAAACTAGAACAGGTTCAGTGAAAAGCAACAGGGATTATCAGAGGTCTACGAACCAAGTCTCATGAAGAGAGATGGAAGGAAATGGGAATGTATCATCTTGAGAAGAGAAGGCTGAGGAGATATATGATAGCACTCTTAAATACCTTAAAGCAGTGTTGTCCAAACTTGGCCACTTTAAGATGAGTG